TGTGCGCAGCGCAGCAGAGTAAGTGAGACGTCCTCAACATCTCGACAACAACCGAGATATTTAATCACATTAACAACACATACACATACATATATAAGTATATCATCTTTATAAACCGTCTAAATGTGTCAAATCGCTGATGTTATTTTAAGCTTATATAGCGTATAATGCTATATTCTGGATTTCTAGGGGATTTCCATCCATTCAGGAGCTGCTGGTTTCAGTTTCAGTTCGAGACGCTTTTGATTCCGATCATCCTCATCTCTGCTGGTGTGTAGCGATGGATGAGCAGCACATCCAGGCCCGGCTGATCGCTCTCCTCCGGCAGGACAACATCCGACTGTGGCTCGAGCCCTTCACGACGGACACCGGAGACCCGGAGCTCCACAGCATACAGGTGAGCGAGCGAGTGTGTGTGTGTGTGTGTGTGTGTGTGAGTGAGTGAGTGAGTGAAACACCTGTTCGATCACCTGTTTCTCCTGCTAACTGCTTCTCTCATCTCTTCTGCTCAGGAACTGGCAGTGAAATACGCTCCTGTCACTGGCTTGTGTGTGTGTGTGTGTGTGTGTGTGTGTGTGTGTGAGTTGTTCGATCACCTGTTTCTCCTGCTAACTGCTTCTCTCATCTCTTCTGCCCAGGAACTGGCTGTGAAATACGCTCCTGTCACTGGCTTCCCTGTGGAGGAAGTGATGTCATCGCTGGAGATCATCAGATCAGACACCAGCCGGAAAGATGAAGGGAATAAAGAGTTTAAAGAGACTTCAGTGGCTTCGCTTGAGCTTCACCTGCCCAGAGAAGAAGGACAGGTGCGGGATCATGCTTTCAGATTCACTATTACTCAACTGTTTACTGATTTAACTCTGCGTTTGTTGTTTCCTTCAAGAAAAAGAAAAGGAAAGTTCATTTAAAAACCAAACTGGACATCACCACACAAGAGCTGAAGAATCAGTGAGTCAAGACATGTTACAACACAGACTGTTTCAAAGCAGCGTCACAGAGATGAACAGGGGAATAACAGAGTAAATCATGCAAACTGCATTAAATATGAAACAGAGTTAATTCTGATGTAAAGTTTAGTGTTGATTCAGTTCAGTTCAATAACTGTAAAGTTCATCAATTATGAAACAAGATCAGTTAAGTTCAATTCTATTAGCAGCTCTACAGAAGACAATAGAGTTATTATTCAGTTCAGTTCAGGGACGATTCATTTTAGTTCAGTTACTGTAAAGTTAATGAATTATGAAACAAATTCAATTCAGTTCAATTCTATTAGCAGCTCTACAGAACACAATAGAGTTATTCAGCTCAATTCAGTTCAGGGTTGATTCGATTCAGTTCAATAACTGTAAAGTTCATCAATTATGAAACAAGATCAGTTCAGTTCATTCTATTAGCAGCTCTACAGAAGACAAATAGAGTTATTATTCAGTTCAGTTCAGGGACGATTCATTTTAGTTCAGTTACTGTAAAGTCAATCAATTAATAAACAAATTCAATTCAGTTCAATTCTATTTGCAGCTACAGAACACAATAGAGTTATTCAGCTCAATTCAGTTCAGGGTTGATTCGATTCAGTTTAATAACAGTGAAGTACATCAATTATAAAACGAGTTCAGTGTAGCTCTACTGAAGACAATAGTGTCATTATTCGGTTCAGTTCATAACAGTGTTGCAAAATTAATCATTTCTAAAGTGTAAATGTTGATTTCTTGGTGAATCATTTCTGCAGTGATTCACTCATTTGAACAGTTCTATCTCATCCTGTGTTTGATTATAAACTTCTTCTGCTTTTTAAGGATAAGCGAGGAGTTTAAATTCAAACACTTCAATCTGATTCTGTCTGGAAAGAAACTGTCTCTAGGTAAACGACTGACCCCATCTGAACATCTCCTCATACATCCGTTGATCAGCGCATGTTGTAAGACGAGCCGTGTTTGTTTCAGGGATGAGGCTGAGTGAACAGAACGTGAAGAACAACAGTAAGATCATGGTGCTGAACGTCACGTCGGAGGAGGTGAAGAACGTCATGCTGGAGGAAGAGGAGAAGAAGCGCAGTCAGGATGAAGGAGTGCAGAGGACACAGAAGGGCTTCCAGATCCTGTCAGAGAGAGGTGGACATCACACACTCCCCAAACATTCACACACTCCCCAAACATTCACACACTCCCCAAACATTCACACACTCCCCAAACATTACGTCAGCGGCGTCACTGAACGCGGATCCACAACAGAACCGGAACACAATACAATGCTGAATAAAGTCGTAGTTTTTGTTATTTTTGGAGCAAAATGTATTTTCGATGCTTCAACACACTCTAACTAACCCACTGATGTCACATGGACTACTTTGATGATGTCTTTATTTCCTTTCTGGACAAGGACAGTATACCGTACACACATTTACAATGGAGGGACAGAAAGCTCTCGGACTAAATCTAAAATATCTTAAACTGTGTTCTGAAGATGAACGGAGGTCTGACGGGCTTGGAGCGACATGAGGGAGAGGCATTAATGACATCATTTTAACTTTTGGGTGAACGAACCCTTCAATCATAATGCTTAAATTGCCATACTTACATAGAAACTAATATGTGTGTGAGACTTTTTTGGTCAATTTATGTCACATACATGTTATGCATATATAAAATATATACATTTTTTAAATATTTATTTAAATAAACTAAAATAAATATAATTTTTAAATACATAGAAGAATTATGTACATACAAATTGTCGGTTATACTTTTTTGTCAATTATACAAGTTACATATATGTTTAATACATATATAAAATATATTTATAAAAAATATATATAAAATATATTTCTTGCACACTTTTATGTTAGATGCAATAAACCGTGTTTAATCGATTTGACAGCACTGGTATATATATGTATACAGTATATCAGTCCCTCCAGAAAAACGTGATTATGCGATCGCATGATTCAGTGCATAATCAGCCAGTCTGCATATTTATGCGGGGGCATTTTTTCAAATACGCCGCACTTTCGCCGCATAAATTGCTGATTTCCGTACAAAATATGCGAGGCTTGCATGATTTCATAATCCTCGCATTTTCATTGCAAAAAAGTCACATATATCTCAGCAGAAAGTTGAAAAATGTTGCGTTTGCGTCACGCAAGAGCCGTTTCCCCCTGTTGCCATGGGAACGTTATGAAGTGACGTAATCACGCGACGTGACATCATCGAAAAGCTGTAAAACAGGAGCACACTTTATTTTTGTATATTTTATTTATTCATTTTTACAGAAGTTGTAGCATATTCCTTTTGTAAAGCTACAGAACTCGTTTGACTCATCAATGTTTTGTAAGTTTGATGTGTTTATTAAGATCTGAAATAAAACAAGATGAACTGAAATATTCCAGCACTTTCTGTGATGTAGTTATGCTTGCTTATCATAGGAAGGAATAAGAAATGACTCTTTACAGTAAGGTAGGAGCCTAGAGAGAACAGGGTGTTGGGGAATCACTTTATTCTCTCTCTTTCATCAAACCGCAGTTTATGGAAGTTCCTGCAATTTCATAATAAAATTGCATAAATATCCCGCATATTCCATCGCATTGTTTAGAAAACGGGCCGCATAATCAAGGATTTTTGCCCACAACAATCACAAAAAAACTCTGGAAGGACTGGTATATGTTGTTCTTAGTCAATAATACAAATTTTAATAATAATACTTGTCAATAATAAATAATGTCCACTTGTGTATCCTCAGATGGGAGTGAGGATCCGACCACTACCCCGTTTCTAGAGATCGCAGATCAGAAAGGAAATCCACTCCAGATCCCCAACGACGAGAGGAAGGTGATTCATGTTCCTCTATCAATCCATGTCCTAAATATTATTCTAATAAATGTGTCATCCAGCCTCCTGAAACTCACAGATGAAATATGAGTATAGAATCCTTCAATAGATTGGTTTTAAAGTGATCAGTGATAGTCTGACACAAGTCATTGCTGTAAGTTCAGCACATCATTATGAGTGTGTGTTCAGACAGACATTAATATCCGATCTCTTGATTTCCTCTGCCGATCGCAGGCTCTGATCCTGGCGATGGGTTTCCATGAGAAAGGTCGAGCTCTGATGAAGAAGAGAGATCACAGCGCTGCTCTGTGTCATCTCCTCCTCGCTGACGAACAGTTCAAGTACGGCTTCATCACACGTCACACTCATCATGACATCAATGATACATCAGCACTGTTCACTGCAGTCACATGCCGTCAAGCTTAATTTGATCATTTTAAAGCAGGGTTATTATCGTTAACTAAAACTATTAAAAACATTTCTGTTAATTGAAATGAAATCAAATACAAATATTAGTTTAAACTAAAACTTAAACTAAAAAAAAAAAAGAGAAATTTTGTTGAAGCACACAAATTATTGACTGGAAATAAATACAAACTAAAACTGAAATAAAAATAAATTAAACCTTAGTAGCAATATTTAAAATAAAAAATTAATAAAATGACCGAGGCACATAATGGAATGACAAAAAAACAAAAAAAACATTTGTGCTAATTTAAAATATTAATAAAAGAAAAATGAAAACTAAAATAACACTGGAATGAAATGGCTTACAAGTATTAAATCTTGATGTTTAATGCTTGAGTAATTTTAATACACTTATGTCCTGCAAACTCTACAATTATGATCTCTTAAGTTTATCATTATGTAAATAAATGCATTAAAAAATACCAGTTATAGTTCAGTATCACAATGACATCAGCGCTGTTATTCTGACATTTAACAGTCTGACAGTGTGAGACATTTTGTAAGGCATTCAACACTTGATGAATTTTAATATTGCGCTGTCTTGCGAACTGTGAAATTATTCTTTATATTATATTTATCATGAAAAAACCCCCACAATAATACCGGTAGTTCAGTATGCAAATATTACAATTACATCAGCGCTGTTCAATTTTGATGTTAAACATTCTGTGAAATCTGTAATTTTACAAGTATAAAGCTTACAAAAGCTATTTTTTAAGACATTTTCTGCTTGAGGAATTTGAATACGCTGCTCTCATGCAACTCTGATGTTGATGTGTCTCCAGTAAGTGTAACTCTGATGTTGAATCATGTTTCTGTGTCTCCAGTAAGTGTAACTCTGCGCTGCTGAACACGGTGGATAACTACGCCGTCCTGCAGCTGGATATCGTGTGGTGTTTCCAGGCTCTGGAGCAGCTGGACTGCCTGAACGACGCCAGACAGAGACTGTCCCGGGCCGAGGAGTGTTTCCAGAGGTGTTACGGAGAACAGCAGAGCCGACTGCAGCTCATCAAGGTCTGTGAGCGTTCTTCACTACAGATGCAGCCGAACCACTATTCTGGCCCCAAACCCAAAACTCTGGATGCACTTAGCCGAAAACCGAAACCAAAACTGAAAAATAGATATATATATATAAAATTATTTTATACAGTACATATGATATATATAATTTTTATATATATTTATATTAAAGTAACAACAGGTAGTTTTTTGCTCTCGGGCTCCCCCTACAGTTGGGAAACAGTATTGTCCTCTACTACTGTCGTAAACTGTCATCCTACATGCACGTGCAATTGTTGACAACCAGGATAGCCCTGAACACTGTAGGAGGAGGTCACCTGCAGGTGTTCCCGCGTGTGTGAAATGTCTTCATCCCAGGTACAGTGGCATATACACTCACCGGCCACTTTATTAGGTACACCTGTCCAACTGCTCGTTAACACTTAATTTCTAAGCAGCCAATCACATGGCGGCAACTCAGTGCATTTAGGCATGTAGACATGGTCAAGACAATCTCCTGCAGTTCAAACCGAGCATCAGTATGGGGAAGAAAGTTGATTTGAGTGACTTTGAACGTGGCATGATTGTTGGTGCCAGAAGGGCTGGTCTGAGTATTTCAGAAACTGCTAATCTACTGGGATTTTCACGCACAACCATCTCTAGGGTTTACAGAGAATGGTCCGAAAAAGAAAAAACATCCAGTGAGCGGCAGTTCTGTGGGCGGAAATGCCTTGTTGATGCCAGAGGTCAGAGGAGAATGGCCAGACTGGTTCGAGCTGATAGAAGGGCAACAGTGACTGAAATAACCACTCGTTACAACCGAGGTATGCAGCAAAGCATTTGTGAAGCCACAACACGCACAACCTTGAGGCGGATGGGCTACAACAGCAGAAGACCCAACCGGGTACCACTCATCTCCACTACAAATAGGAAAAAGAGGCTACAATTTGCAAGAGCTCACCAAAATTGAACAGTTGAAGACTGGAAAAATGTTGCCTGGTCTGATGAGTCTCGATTTCTGTTGAGACATTCAGATGTTAGAGTCAGAATTTGGCGTAAACAGAATGAGAACATGGAACCATCATGCCTTGTTACCACTGTGCAGGCTGGTGGTGGTGGTGTAATGGTGTGGGGGATGTTTTCCTGGCACACTTTAGGCCCCTTAGTGCCAATTGGGCATCGTTTAAATGCCACGGCCTACCTGAGCATTGTTTCTGACCATGTCCATCCCTTTATGGCCACCATGTACCCATCCTCTGATGGCTACTTCCACCCTGTCACAAAGCTCTAATCATTTCAAATTGGTTTCTTGAACATGACAATGAGTTCACTGTACTAAAATGGCCTCCACAGTCACCAGATCTCAACCCAATAGAGCATCTTTGGGATGTGGTGGAACGGGAGATTCGCATCATGGATGTGCAGCCGACAAATCTGCGGCAACTGTGTGATGCCATCATGTCAATATGGACCAAACTCCCTGAGGAATGCTTCCAGCACCTTGTTGAATCTATGCCACGAAGAATTGAGGCAGTTCTGAAGGCAAAAGGGGGTCCAACCCGTTACTAGCATGGGGTACCTAATAAAGTGGCCGGTGAGTGTATTTCAGCATGTCATATGAATATAATTTCATGGGTTTTATTTTTTTTCTAACGACAAATGATCGCGATGCTCACGTTTACAAGCCAGCGTCATTATAGTAGCCTAGTCTATTGGTTACCGTTTTACTGAATCTATATGATACTTCAATGCAATGTTTGAGTGGTTGATAATAACCGTATATCGTCAATATTATAATATCAAGCTACCATAAATTAATCTGCAAATTTTACTAATCGATTTGCATTATAGCTTGAGGCAAGACAAATAAACAAATATCACAGACATGTTAGGTATCCTAGAATATGATTTTATTAATAATCTTCCTCCTTTCTTTGTACATGTTGAGTAGACTACACTTTTTAGGTCAAACATTTGCTATTTGCATTTCATCGATTGCAAAGTTCAAATCAGAACGAGAATACTAGCGATAGCTAACCATCAAAAACTAGAATATCGTTTACTAGCTACCAGATTGATAATTCGCTACTACTCTAGCGAATTAGAGAGGTTAGAGAGAGGCATTCTTTTTTCGATGGGGGGTTCGATGCTCCCTGCACACGCAAGGTCTCTCGCTCGCTTTCTCTCTCTGCCGTTGTCGCGTTGGAGCACAGTCTCTGTCTCGCGTGCGCGCTCGCTCTAGATTCCGGGAGATTTGAACTAATTTGCGGTATAACTTGTCGATCACGAGTGGCTCAACAGGTAGATCTATAGATAAACTCATCTTTCAGGGATTTGACCGACCGGGTTGACAATTTAGCGTGAGAAACCGGGGGTGTGGCGTGTGAGCGTGTGAAACCAATGCGGGTGTCTCACGGCCAATGCGTGAGAGTTGGCAGCTCTGTTGATCCTCGTTCTGCCTTTAACGCGATCACTTTCTCTTTTTCTCTTTTTGCTCTGCTCCGATAAAACCTTTGCTTTCTTGTTTTTCTGTGCTGCTTCGGCCGTGACTATAACATTTGGCTCGCAAGTCCGATTTTAAGGAAGTGGGGGTGGTGGTGGAAGTGACGTATGCCGTAAAGCAGTCGAATTTTGTAGTTCTCTTTGTTCGCCGGTTACTACCCGAAAACCGAAGTTTAAAAGTACAATTAAAAACGCTACAGACCCCGTCAGGCTATGGCAGACGTGTCATTCAACCTATTGTAAGTCGATGTACCATCACAAGAGACTTGGAAATATATTATGAAGGTTGAAAAGTTACCTGTTGTTACTTTAATTTCTTATTTTAAATTCGTTTTTTGTTTAATTGTATTTTTATTAAACTTTTTAATTAAATTCAATAATTTAATGGATCTGAATTAAAACAAATTCAAGCCAATAAAATAAAATAACCAGACTTTTATTTCAAGTAACACAAAAATTGGGCAGAAAATAGGCCTATATTAAAATAATATTAAATATCAATATATTAATATCAATATATTATTCTTTTCTCAGTATGCAGCAGAATCAGATTTAACAGTGTAAAGGATCAGCTATATGAAATATTAATAATCAATAATAACTTGTTATTATTAATTATGAATATTTGGGGTCAGTTAATTGGATTAACTTGACATGGCTAAATTAATCTTACAATCAATTAATCAGTTTGTTCAACTAGCTCTTTGATTATTCATTTATTCTAAGAAACAGTTATCTTCCATGGCCACAGAAGAATCGTCATTTCTTAGCTTATACAGCGCTTTGAGCTTGTAGCAAAAATCTAAATCGTAAAGGGACTCCGTATTGCAAGCGAATCAGAACCAAATACATATTATGTACAAGTTTTATTAACTAAATCATAAATAAACTAAACAAACATATGTGCATATATGTACAGATACACATAAATACATAAATAGGTAAGGGATAGAATGAGACTGGAAAGGAGAGGGAACGATGGGGCAGATCCATCTAACTGAGAAGAACCAACAACATTTCATTTTCACATTTCATTGAATTGAATACTTGCATTTGTAGTGGGAACAATTCTTGAAGTTGTGGACAATTGAAGTCGTTGAGGGTTCCGGCGGTGTCAAGTGGAAGTTGTTTGAAAGTTATCTTTCTCCATGAGCACATCAAGGCCTGGGGCCCTGGGCCCTGTTGAGGCCGCGCGGAGCACTCAGGAGAAGTGAGGAAGTCTGAAGAGTGGGTGATTGGAGTCGTGGTTCCAAACTCCTGAGATTGTCCTTGGTTCTTTGTGAGAGAGTCTTCTCTCTCCATCCTGAATGTGGGTCCAGGGTGAGCAGCTTTCTGGATTGAAGTAAAGGCAATCTGACTCCCTTTTGAGAGCATGAAAGCATGGCCTGCTGGGCCCTGGGGGGAGGGGCTCCTCCCCGTATCAGCTGTGTGTTTGCGGCCAGATGAGAGAACCAAGAGAGGGCGGTCGCTGTGGACTGTCTCTAAGGGTGTATTCACACCAGGAAAGTCCGATAGTTCACTTGCTTTGGTCCGGACCAAATAATTTTTTTTTTGTTTTTTTTGGTACGGTTCGCTTTCACACTGCTCTTTTTGCAAGTGAACCAAAATTTGTAAACAAAACCACACGTGTGCTAAGGTCGTCGATTCATTGGACAAGGATTCTCAAGTAGGGAAATCAGGAAGTGCAAAAAAGGCTCAGCATGGAGATATTTCGTACTGCAATATTTGTTATTTTACTAATTTTGTGTTATTCTGTACAAACGCAATATGAAGAAACTGCGCAGAAGACGGATAAGATATAAAGGTTTGATTCATAGAGAGGGGCTATGTTCACACATTCAAATAATGAGATTCTTATTGTATATACTGCTAACAAGTGCTGTCAATGTTAACGTTTGCGATTAAGTTTGTCCAGTTTAACGCAGCATCATCCTTGTATTGTAACTATTGTTACATTATATGAACTGCAAAAGCTTTTTTTGCATCTATGCGCGATTAGACTAAAGAGAACGCTCTGTATGTGAATGTCCTGATGCACACACTCGTTCGTTCATTCATTCCAATGACGCACACACACGGCGCGCAGAAAGACGCGCAACAGTATCGTGTGGCCAGACAGCGCGCCGGAATGGAATTCTCTTTCGCACTTGAACAACAATAACACAAACCATTATGCCAAAATCTCCGACTACGGAAGCCTGTTAACTCAAAGGCGCAGTGCTTTCTTGCAATTGGGTCGGTTCATGTTCACACCGTAAACGAGCCGTACCAGAGTTCGTTTGGAAGCGTACCGAGGCCACCTCTTCAGCTGGGTCTCGGTTCGGTTGTTTGGTCCGCACCCGAGTTCGATTGCTGTATTCACACCTGCCCAAAAGGTCCGCACCAAGGGGGGAAACGAACTAGAGTTCGATTCAATCGAACCAAACAAGGCAGGCGTGAATACACCCTTAATAACGCTGAGAAGATCCCTCCTCTCTCAGTTTGCTTTACCAATCAGAGGAGTGGACTCTCTGGCGGGAGTTTCATCTGGGGGAGATTTTTATGACTCTTTGTCCAAAGAGTCCAAAAGAAAAAGCTTCACCCTTTTTCTGTTCAGTAATGATCAGATAGATATAACAAATCCACAGTGCATTCTAAAGGAATGTGATGTACATCAAAGTGTGAGTCATTAGGTGAGGATTAATTAGGTAGGAGACATGATACAGGTGAGGTTACATTGCCCGTTGGTAGGTTGTACAACCAAATACATACCAATCAAATACATACCGTAGGATTATATATAATAGTACTTAAAAGTACACAAAACATTAAATCATTCACACAGTTTCTGGGAGGCATATGACTAATGCAGCAAAGTTTGTATTAAAGAGGGTTTCTGTCTTCCCATTGTCTCTTTCTTGCACATGTGGCCACATTCCTTTTTGAGGTCATAAAAGTCTGTTATCAGTCTCAATGTAACAGGACACCCTGTTCTGCCAGTGTGTTTGTTTCATTTGGACTGTTAGTTTTGGAGTTTCATAAACCTTTGTATATAATGAATAATTAGTGTGTGTCTCTAATTGGTCCATACCCTACAACAGATTTTGAACTAAATAAGCTGAAGTAGTCCTCCAAAGCTGTCGGAGTGTGTGAGCAGACAGCGGCGCAGGAGTGGATCAGTGATCGGCTTATGATCCGGCCGGCATATTTTTGGCCTTATATTTTCAGCCTTTATTCTCTTTCGCCCAAAAACCGAAAATGCTATTTTCGACCTGATCATTTTTGGCAGCTGAAATTTCGGTGCATCCCTATTCTTCACCTCACACGTGTGTGTGTGTGTGTGTTCACTGCATGATCTGTGTGTTTCTGGTTCTCAGGGTCACACTGGAGGAGAAGACGTGCTGTTTCTGAGGCTGATGTGTGTGTGTGTGTGTGTTCACTGCATGATCTGTGTGTTTCTGGTTCTCAGGGTCACACTGGAGGAGAAGACGTGCTGTTTCTGAGGCTGTATCTTCTTCAGAGTGTGCTGGCGTACCACGACGGAAACAAGAACCAAGCCTCATACAAGCTCAAAGAAGTAAATGCTTTTTTAATGATTGTGTCTATTTACCTCTAAAATAAACTGTACTACTAGCAGTGCTGATTGTGAATCATTCCAGTGATCTGAAACTTTTGATTCTTAGTATATGTTTGGTTTTATTCTAATAGAATATGATATGATTCATTTGTATACTTAGACTATATCTCGTTTGATTCTTAGAATATAACTCATTTGATTCTTCTAGAGAGTGATTAGTTTGACTCTTCTTGACCGTGACTCGTTTGACTCTTCTTGACCATGACTCGTTTGACTCTTCTTGACCATGACTCGTTTGACTCTTCTTGACCGTGACTCGTTTGACTCTTCTTGACCGTGACTCGTTTGACTCTTCTTGACCATGACTCGTTTGACTCTTCTTGACCGTGACTCGTTTGACTCTTCTTGACCGTGACTCGTTTGACTCTTCTTGACCGTGACTCGTTTGACTCTTCTTGACCGTGACTCGTTTGACTCTTCTTGACCGTGACTCGTTTGACTCTTCTTGACCGTGACTCGTTTGACTCTTCTTGGCCATGACTCGTTTGATTCTTCTCGAGGGTTTGATTCTTCTCGAGGATGACCCCTGATTGTGTCTCTGTGTCGGTCAGGTTGAGCGTCTGTTCGGTCAGTTGTTTCTGGACCCGGTCAAGATCTCGCAGCTGATGAGTTTGGGTTTCTCTGATCAGGACGCTCGTCTGGGTCTGAGAGCCTGTCGAGGAGATCTATCAGAGGCCGTGCTGCACATCACACAGAGGAAGAAGGTTCTGCACTATAACACACGTAAAGCACATGTTCACGCATGAGACCTCAGAATTAAACATGTGCTGATGTCCATCAGGAGAGGAAGGAGATGAAGGAGAGAGAGCGAGAGAAGAGGAGACGACGTCTGCAGGACATCAACACACTGGTGGAGCTGAGCTTCAGTAAGAGAGACGCGGCCAGAGCCCTGCATCAGGCCAGAGGAGACGTGGACAAGGCCTATAACGTGAGCACACACACACACACACACGCACACACACACACACACACACACACACACACACTGGTGGAGCTGAGCTTCAGTAAGAGAGACGCGGCCAGAGCCCTGCATCAGGCCAGAGGAGACGTGGACAAGGCTTATAACGTGAGCACACACACACACACACACA